AGACAGACAGACAGACAGACAGACAGACAGACAGACAGACAGACAGACAGACAGACAGACAGACAGACAGACAGACAGACAGACAGACAGACAGACAGACAGACAGACAGACAGACAGACAGACAGACAGACAGACAGACAGACAGACAGACAGACAGACAGACAGACAGACAGACAGACAGACAGACAGACAGACAGACAGACAGACAGACAGACAGACAGACAGACAGACAGACAGACAGACAGACAGACAGACAGACAGACAGACAGACAGACAGACAGACAGACAGACAGACAGACAGACAGACAGACAGACAGACAGACAGACAGACAGACAGACAGACAGACAGACAGACAGACAGACAGACAGACAGACAGACAGACAGACAGACAGACAGACAGACAGACAGACAGACAGACAGACAGACAGACAGACAGACAGACAGACAGACAGACAGACAGACAGACAGACAGACAGACAGACAGACAGACAGACAGACAGACAGACAGACAGACAGACAGACAGACAGACAGACAGACAGACAGACAGACAGACAGACAGACAGACAGACAGACAGACAGACAGACAGACAGACAGACAGACAGACAGACAGACAGACAGACAGACAGACAGACAGACAGACAGACAGACAGACAGACAGACAGACAGACAGACAGACAGACAGACAGACAGACAGACAGACAGACAGACAGACAGACAGACAGACAGACAGACAGACAGACAGACAGACAGACAGACAGACAGACAGACAGACAGACAGACAGACAGACAGACAGACAGACAGACAGACAGACAGACAGACAGACAGACAGACAGACAGACAGACAGACAGACAGACAGACAGACAGACAGACAGACAGACAGACAGACAGACAGACAGACAGACAGACAGACAGACAGACAGACAGACAGACAGACAGACAGACAGACAGACAGACAGACAGACAGACAGACAGACAGACAGACAGACAGACAGACAGACAGACAGACAGACAGACAGACAGACAGACAGACAGACAGACAGACAGACAGACAGACAGACAGACAGACAGACAGACAGACAGACAGACAGACAGACAGACAGACAGACAGACAGACAGACAGACAGACAGACAGACAGACAGACAGACAGACAGACAGACAGACAGACAGACAGACAGACAGACAGACAGACAGACAGACAGACAGACAGACAGACAGACAGACAGACAGACAGACAGACAGACAGACAGACAGACAGACAGACAGACAGACAGACAGACAGACAGACAGACAGACAGACAGACAGACAGACAGACAGACAGACAGACAGACAGACAGACAGACAGACAGACAGACAGACAGACAGACAGACAGACAGACAGACAGACAGACAGACAGACAGACAGACAGACAGACAGACAGACAGACAGACAGACAGACAGACAGACAGACAGACAGACAGACAGACAGACAGACAGACAGACAGACAGACAGACAGACAGACAGACAGACAGACAGACAGACAGACAGACAGACAGACAGACAGACAGACAGACAGACAGACAGACAGACAGACAGACAGACAGACAGACAGACAGACAGACAGACAGACAGACAGACAGACAGACAGACAGACAGACAGACAGACAGACAGACAGACAGACAGACAGACAGACAGACAGACAGACAGACAGACAGACAGACAGACAGACAGACAGACAGACAGACAGACAGACAGACAGACAGACAGAACAGACAGACAGACAGACAGACAGACAGACAGACAGACAGACAGACAGACAGACAGACAGACAGACAGACAGACAGACAGACAGACAGACAGACAGACAGACAGACAGACAGACAGACAGACAGACAGACAGACAGACAGACAGACAGACAGACAGACAGACAGACAGACAGACAGACAGACAGACAGACAGACAGACAGACAGACAGACAGACAGACAGACAGACAGACAGACAGACAGACAGACAGACAGACAGACAGACAGACAGACAGACAGACAGACAGACAGACAGACAGACAGACAGACAGACAGACAGACAGACAGACAGACAGACAGACAGACAGACAGACAGACAGACAGACAGACAGACAGACAGACAGACAGACAGACAGACAGACAGACAGACAGACAGACAGACAGACAGACAGACAGACAGACAGACAGACAGACAGACAGACAGACAGACAGACAGACAGACAGACAGACAGACAGACAGACAGACAGACAGACAGACAGACAGACAGACAGACAGACAGACAGACAGACAGACAGACAGACAGACAGACAGACAGACAGACAGACAGACAGACAGACAGACAGACAGACAGACAGACAGACAGACAGACAGACAGACAGACAGACAGACAGACAGACAGACAGACAGACAGACAGACAGACAGACAGACAGACAGACAGACAGACAGACAGACAGACAGACAGCCAGACAGACGCACGCACGCACGCACGCACGCACGCACACACACACACACACACGCACGCACGCACGCACCCACGCACCCACACATACATCATCCCGAAAATAGTCAAAACGGATTCAGGGGACCCCAAAACGTAAAAATCCGTCGAAAACTGGAGGTCGAAAAAAATCATGATTCCTATACTTTCCTTATATCTGTATACAGATAGGAAAGTAAAAAAGAATGAATAGTTGTGCGTACAATATTTTTCTGGTGCTCATCCCATTTAATTTTTTTTCGGCCACGACACTTCACTTTTGGAGCTTGCACAGTCCCAGTCACCTTCTTTTCACGTACAATGCGTTTAATTGTCGCCACGGATACTCTCGTTAAAAATGAATAGCGGTCCAAGGCTTGCATTGTGGGAAGTGTATTTATTAAACCTTCATATACGCTACAGACCATCTGTTTTTTATCGTTTGAAAGAATTTTCCGCTTTCGTTGTGAATTACTTGGACGCGCTACTGCATCCATCTTAATGCTGTTAATATAAAAACCATCAATCATATACCTGCTATCATTAGTCCACTCAAATTAAACTTAAGAGAAAAAAAATTTGTTAACAGAACTTTGATATGAAACGTAGGGCTTTTAAATTTAAAACCCACGATTAAAAAAGTGTATTTGTCTGAATCTTAATCATTCTACTTAAATTTTTGAAGCAATATTATTTATAGAAAAATAAACATTCTGGTCAAAAAATAAAAAACAGTTTCTTTTATATGTTTTTTCCATACATTTCTATTTTTTTAAATTGAAACTAATTATAACAATAATTTAGGAATAAATCATTGTTGCTATTGTAATATTTTGTTTTTCTCCAGTTTTGAGCATGTTTTTTAATCGTGACTATGTATTTTTTATTTTATCAAAAACTACATGTCAAAACGAAAAAAATGAGTATCTGAAGAACTTTGTACGATAATTTTCCACCGTAGAATTTCTTTAAAAAAAGGGTTTTTTTGCTTATCTAAAACATACAAAGGTATAGATTCACCAAATTTCATCAAAATTAAATTATTTTGGAAGAAATGAAAAATAAAAAACCTAAAAAATTGTCAAATTAGACAATTAAAATACACATTATATACCAATAATATTGACGAGTTTATCGCTGATTCAATGTATTTACCTAATTTGGTTAGATATAATATTTGTACGAAGAGTAAATATTATGGAATAATCTCACTTTTTAAATTTCTTGACGTAGCATAAACATTAAAATGATCCCGGTAAGTTTGAGCTCTGAAAATCATAATAGAATTACACTGTTGCCGGTTGACCACAGTGCAGTCCGCAAGATGTGTCACCGTCATATAAAAAATGATCGAGTATAGTGAGAAATCGTATGTTTGACATTGTGATTAGTTTTTGAGAAAGAGGCGTGAGAGGTCGTCCGATTAGTGTGGACAGAGATAGAGTGAGTATTGTAACTACTGACTAAGCGTATATATTTATTTTTAACGGTTTATTTTAAATGTACCCATACGAATGCAAGTGAAATATATCTGCGAGTGGAAGAGAGTCGGCACCTGCATTTATTTATTTAAAATTTTCCATAAGTTACAAAACTATATTTTGCGCAGGTAGCCATGCTGTAGATGTTTTTGTTCGAACTTTGAATACGTTAAACTGCATTCCTGCATTTGCCAGGGTTGGCTTTGATTTAAACTTTTTATAATATGTAATTGAAACATGATTTTTATTCTTTGTTTTGTGTCAGATTTAGGTAATGCAATGTATAGAATGAATAATAAAATATATTGTTGTTCTTGTGTTTACTATACATTATTCATACAGGGTGGATCATAAAGAGAGTAACTGAAGTATCTGTTAACAATGCATGTCATTTTTGAACATTCTCAATCACAAGTTACTCTAAGTTAATACTGAAAATGTTCAAAAATAACGAATACTGGTTCCCTTATCAAAACAAAAAATGGACATTGACAATTTGTTTCGCTTACGATGCAGTGGCGGCGCAAGGCTTTTACTATTGGCAGATTTTATTACTCGTTTTTCCTAAAACAGAAAAAACACATTTTAACTAATTTCAATTATTATCTCGAAAACTATCTGATAGATTTCTCGAATAAGACGTTATTTGAAAGAGAATTGTACGCTCTTTCAAAAGAGGTATCACTCGACCCCTTGTCCCATTTAAAATAATAAGAATTGGTCACCCCCTAGAAGGTTAAAGTTTTAGTGTTATAATTGGTAACAAAAATCTCTCTCTTGACAAATCTAATGGTTTTTTTAATAAACATTGAATCAGATATTTTGTTTGTTTAGTTTTAAATGGTAAACCCTCTATATATAATATTCACCTGGACATGAAAAATATTAATGAGTTTTTAAATTGAGTATTATTTTTCAACGAGAGTATAATGATGACTAACCTAGTGAAAAATATACAATAAACTAACTTTCCTCTACTTACTTATTGATCTATAAAAATAGGGAATTAATGTTTTATATAATTTCTAGTTACTAGGAAAATGGTACGTGATAGAATACTACGCCAGCTCCGAGGAGGCCTTGTCTTACCGATGCATGCGAGCAGAATTTACGATGTCTTCTTTCGAAAATGTCAACATGGATTTTACCTACAGCTTCGTCGACGATCCAATAAACGAGCTTTTAATGGGAAACATTTCGTGGATTATACCCAATCCCGAAGAACCCGCCCATTGGGTCCATTCGGAAGATACATGTAAGTTATTGGTACCACTTTGGCGATTTCCGCGTACAAGCAAAAGTCGTATGTCAGAAAAGTGAGAAGTAGGTACTTAACTGTCACAGTAGAGATTAACAGGAAAATAAACCGCGATATTGTGACGTGGAATTTTCTAGAGCAGCCATACTCAACTTGCGGCCCACGGGCCACATGCGGCCCTCCAAGCTTTTTTGTGCAGCCCCAAACACTATTAGTAGGAAGGTGCTTCCTAAAAAATTGCTTTTTGTTTTTAAAATTTTAAGCGAAATCTTTTTAATATTTAAACCGGATTCCCATCGTCACCCATTGTTCTTTATTTACATTTCAAAAAGGTGGCAACTCTAGTTATCATCCAAAAATATTACGGCTCGTGTAGCATAACAAAAAGATTTATGTGGCCCGAAAGAAAAAAGGTTGAGTACAGCTGTCTAGAGAGTTATCGGCCATAGCTCTCAGAGAGTCTAGAAACCGCTATCGTTATAGGCATCGTGTCGGCTCATGTGAAAACGCCCAGTCTAGACTTTCTTAAAATATTCTTCCGCGCGCTTAAAAAGAATCTTCTAGTAACTTCTCGAAGCCAGCGGCAGCGGAACATGCGAGCGATTTGAACGACGTTAAGGTAAATAAATATCAGAGATAGACTAGCTGAAAAATGGCTCGCACGACAATACATACGATCATATACAATTATGGTATCAAAATGCGATTATTTCGATTCGTGTTTTGTTTAGGTTGAATTTTTTTTTTGTATGTTGTGGCCCGTTTTGGAAAACAACGGCCTTGGGCATTATTTATCATTTAATATAAAATAAATTAACAGAAATTATTTAAGCCATGTGTCACACAAAAAAATAAGCGAAAACAACTACCCCTTTGCTTAATAACGCAATAGGCTAAAGAAAAACAATTATTTTCATTTAATATACTTTACCAGAGTGACATTACTGTTTTATATTTTCAGACGAAGGTGTTTATAATACATACATCTTAGACTCAGATTACATCTCCTGGGGTTTACTACTACACTGCGCTGAGAAATCAAAAGTACCTAGATACCTTTCCAGCTTCATAATGAGCAGAGACCCGACGTTAGGCAAAAACGTAATTTCTTATCTGAGAGAAAAATTACCTAGATATGACATCGACTTGTCGTATATGTTCGACATGCAGCAAACTGAGTGTAATTCGACGTCGATAGACTTACCTCCTTCCTTGTTTATTAACAGACCAGCTGTGGCGACGAGAAGGCATCCCATGAAGCATATACATCAGGAAGAACCATGAAGAACGCATTATTATAATAAATGTTGTATTTAATAACTTCAGTACATCCAATATCCAATTATACAATTTTTCGAAATGTAAATTCTAGACGTTCTCCGTTTCTAATTGACGGGTCCTTCATTTTTCAACTTATTTAATGAATCGTATATAGGGGATTTTACTCCAAATTATTAAAAACTGTACTTTTATTAAAACCAATAAAGACACATTGTGATTACTGAATGAAAAACCAAAACATTATCTCGTTAGTTTCTACCAACAAGCCTTTTTGCAAGCTTGCATTAGTTTCATTACATTATCTTCTTATATATTTGCTGTTGGTTGGTGTCGGTGATTGTCCTTCTCTTGCTACTGTTACGCAGGTTTGTGGTAACTCAATTTATTTTGACTCAACTTTTACAATTCAGCTATACAACTGATAACGTGAACGTCAGAGAAGTAGACATGGGTAACGCACTAAAATTCTTTGCGTTGATACACTAACTCTGGCGCACTCTATTGCGCCAACTCATTGCGTTATTGCGTCACACCACTGCCTGCGCCGAATGAAGTCGATGCACCTCGGTGTATCGCATGATACCGGTGTTATTCAGCGCGGGTTGTCCTCAGGGTTACCAGGTTTTTGAAAGAGATGATGGACAGACAGGGAATTTTAGGGGAAATAGGCGGAAGTAAAAACTACTGTGTCTATTTTCATTTTTTTAATCAAAATTACTTATTTTGTAAAAAATTCGTACCTATTTTTTGGTAAAGATAGACTGAGGTGTTTCAAATAATAAGGTGAAAATGTTTTCTGACTTTGGATTTCGATTTGCGATTTCTCGATTTTCTAACTTTACATTTTCACCTTATTATTTGTAAAGGTAAGGATTTCTTGCAAAATAAGTAATTTTGATTAAAAGAGTAAAAATAGACCGAGTTGTTTTTACTTCCCCCTATTTCCCCTAAAATCCCCTGTCTGTCCGTCATCTCTTTCAAAAACCTGGTAACCCTGGTTGTCCTTTTATAAGGGTCAAACCGTGTTCAAGGCAATAACGCAATTGGGAATTTAACTAAATTTTTTTAATTATACCTATGTTTAAAAATAAACGAAAATATGTATAACATTTTTTTATTTCATTGTGTTCGGATTTTACAAAGAATACAAAAATTCCAATTTATATAAAAAGGATATAACTTTTGTATACTAGTACTAGTACCCAATCAAAATGGGAAGAACTAAAAACTGACAGTGTACAAGGTTAAAATCCAAAAAATTCGACCTACAATATCCTACAAATGGTGTGACATGTTGCAAAGAACATAATTACTTGATAGATTTTGAGTAATCTGCATTACGAGTTGCATCAATTACGTAAATTAAAATTCTCAACTCGTCACGGAAAACTGAATCAGTGCCTGGCGCATGGCGCACCAACAACTCGCGATCCTTTCGACCACTTTCGACTCAGTACCGAAAATTGCGTTGCGCTGATACAATAACAGCTGGTGTATCAACGCCTGTAACGCATACAACTGCGTTAACGCAATAACGCAACGCAGCGCTGCGTTACCCATGTCTACAGACATTGCGTTCGGTTTGCCACGTTCCTTTAACTCCTTTAACACTTTTAACTCCAAACGATTCTTTTAGCGTTCGGTTTAGTCCGATTAGTGACAGTTTAACACGCTTAAATGTCATTTAAAAGCACCCTAAAATTTGTCCCGCTCCAGCCCCTGACTGACCGAACTCGCCTAGAGAATAATTTTTGATGAACGTATAACCACAGAAGAAAGAACAATACAGAAAAGAAAGTAATGGTCGGAACTTTGAAGTTGAAGGGATAGAAATATTTGACCTTGAGTTCCACCACAGAGATACTCTGAGAAAACGTAACTATTCACAGTACACGCAAACGTAGCTATGCGCTAGTTCAGTGATGATGTAATTATAGTTCCACTGACAATTAAAGTGACAGTAGATTTTTTGAGTGCGTTTTGTTTACCTAAATTATATCGTTTTTTTCACTTTTATAAATATATTCCTAAAGTAAGTAGGTAGCATGTATCAAATATACAATCGTTTAGTTACCAATTACATACCTTTAAACTATTTTTTATGACCTGTAAACAATATTTTGAAATAAAATAAAAACAGTAAAAAAGTATATGTCAAATTTATTGATGTTTTTGTTAAAAGTTTGGTTAGAATTAAATGTCAATGGAACCAAAATGACATCACACTGAACTAGCGCATTCACTGAACCTACACTGCGAAAGCTACATTTCTCTTTTACAGAATTATGTGTCATATTTTATGAAAATTTGTATGAATGAATTTTAAACTATTCTTGATTTAAGTAAAATATTTTTCAATTTGTATCACTTCCGACAGAGGCTTCAAAAATGAAAATTATAAAGTATTAAACAATAGTTTATTTTACCCTGTCATAATGAACTATTAATATTGTGCCACAAATCTTACTAGTCATTTATGATCCATAAGTATAAATCCATTGGGATAATTGTTAAAAAAATGATTAGCTAAAGCGTATTTTAGAGATTTTATAAATAAAAACAAAAGAAAAATAAAACAACGTATATTTATGCAATTGATAAGTTTACAATCTATGCATGTATTTTATTAAAATATAATTTTTGAATGGAATTATTTTAAGATTCTTTTTTATTACATATGCAATAAGGATACTTATTATTAATAATAATTTATAATACCAATAAAACTAAAAAATCCATCCCATTACAAAAAAAAAAAAAACTAAAAAATGAAATTAAAAAACAATAGTGAAACAAATATATACCTGATAATAGTACATAAATATATTATAAAAAACGGTAAAAAAACAGTTGAGAAACTATGTACTCAAATTACGTACATGTTTAATTAGACTTATATTGTCTAAAAAAAGGATCACACACCTATGACATATTTTGTTAAAGCTATATACATAGTATTCATAATCGTTTTAAATGTATGAAAATTAAAATAATTAAAATTGTTTACACACATTTATAGAGCAAGCCTAATTTATAATAATAATAATATCGTTTATTCAGAATTAACAAAAAAGTCTTACATTTAACGAAGTATTTCATAATAAAGAATGAATAATTTATAAAATGACAAATAAAGAAAACAAAGTAAATCTGAACAAACAGTTTAAACCCAGAATTGTTTATTTACTGGAGCCAAGAAGGCTGTGCGTAAATAAAGTTTTTCACATGGTTAAAAATGTTTAATAGATTGGGTATTATGATAACACTAATAGATTGGGTTTTATGGTTAATTAACAATTATAATAACAATTACCATAACAATTACTTGTATAAATAACAATAAAATAAATGTATAAACAGAGCGACACATAAATGTAGGAGTAATAATTAAATAACAACAAGTAAATGAACTTTTTCTCTTCCTAAATTTATTATATAATATTTAAATCTTTTTTTAATAAACGAGATTGCATTTATTTTTAATATATACATTTTGTATTGTTCAGGAAGGCTATTAAAGATTTTATACATTAGATTTTTATAACTTCTAAGACAAATGTTTTTAGTAAATAACACAGATTGAACATTTTTATTTTCTCTATATCGGGTTTCATATCCATGATTTACACACTCAAGAACATTTCGATTTTTAAAAATGTACAAAATTATTTGATGCATAAACATCTGTCTTACATCAAGAATGCCAGCTTCATAAAAAAGCAGATTTGTTGGGTAGGTAAGTTTTTTATTAAAAAATATTTTTAAAAACAGTTTGTGTAATATATCTAATTTTTTCATATAACACGTAGCAGCTCCTCCCCAACTGAGAATAGCATATCTTATGCGGGATTCAAGGAGAGCGTAATAAATTATTTTAAGGTAAGGCCTATCTATCATATTCTTAAGATATCTAAATTTATATAGTAATGTTCTCAGTGTTTTTACAAGATTTCCAATGTGGACGTCAAACCTTAGATGACAGTCTATGTAGAGCCCTAAGTACTTCATATGTTTCTTGGAATGTATAATTTGATTATTATTAACTTCTAATGTTTCAGTGTACTAATGATATTAGAGAATGGAACAATATAGGTCTTTTCGGAGTTTACGGTCAATAATTTGTGATTAATACATAGATAAGTAGCTTTATTAAAATAGCTACATCCTAATATACAACTATGTAATAAGCTCTGCGAAATTACAATATCTGCAAAGGATTTTTTTAAAAATTGCTTGCATATAGCATGAAAATCTTTCAATGTATATTCGGAGGCTGGATTTTTCTTCTTTTTTGCAACAAACAAACGTTTCCTTAACGTTGCTATCTTCAGTCGCAGTCTCTGTTTTCTTGGAGTGTTTGATGATAATACACTACTCGTTTGGATTTGTGCTGTTGCACAAGGTAGAGGAACTTGTTCAATAGATTCTACTTCTGCTGAAGTTGAGGGTAAGCACAAGTTGTCTTTGCCTTTTTCGCCATGAACAACAAACTCCTCTAAAAAAAAGAAAGAAATAACAAATTTTTATCAGATCAACTAGTTTTAAGAAGGTGCATCATTTGTCAGAATTAAATGTTTAAGTCACACTTTTTAGCCAGATGAAATTTAAAATAATTTCATAAAGTGTGAATATATTTCTGTGCCTAGGAGGTAAACTGCACTATGTCATTCTAGTCAACCGTTTAGTACAGCAGATTGAATGTTGTTAAATTATTAAATTTCAACTAAATATGCATTTAGGCACCCCATTTATTGTCACAATATTTGTATTTTTTACGACAGTACAGTTTCTTCGAGGCAGTTCTATAAAATGGAATGTAAGGGTTAGGTTTATATTTATATTTTTTATATCTTGAATGTTTATAAAATAATAATGATATTCTAAGATTATTAGTACTTATCATTTTATTTTTTAAACTACTAAATGTAATGTAGAAAAATAACAAGTGAAAGAAGTAGCAAACTTTTTGTAACATTTAACTATAAATTTTATTTATTTACCTTGCAGAACTCTGACTCTTTTCATAGGTTCTGAGTGAGGAAATACTGATGGGAATGCATTTGCAAATAATCGTTTTCTTGTTCCTGACTGATAAAACGAATTTATCCTGGAAGTGCAAATTTTGTAATGTTTACTTAAGTATTTAACACTCTTTCGCAATAAGTCTTTTCTATTTGCTGCCTGAAGTCACAATTCAAGTCTGAAAAATACATACAATCATTGTACTACAATGTTATGGAAAGATCAATTCCTATTTCACACTCAATATTTCATACATACCCACTGGATCTTTCACAAGAGTGAACAATCCTTCTTTATCACCTGTTCTTGAGGTACATCCACGATAAATACAAGTATACCCTCCTCCTCTTTGACGCGGCATTGTTTATAAATCTAATCTTAATACGTACAATAAAGTCTTAAATGAACACTCCACAATTAAAAACAGCAACAAAAACTAAAGATAAACCACTAACAAAACGTAAAAGTTATTAGAATATTCGCTAAAACCACATACTTTGATGTGGCTAAAACCAACCAAAAATCAAAAGACGACAGGCAAAAAAATATTGACAGCGACAGCAGTGACAGCCATAGATAAATTAATAATTATTAATTTAGATCTATGGTGACAGCTTCGTTCATCTGCTACAAAAGTGTGCACTGTTGCACTTCGAACAAGTAACAAATCTACGATTCACTTTTGACAATGCTCCACCATAAATGGTGCGTTTGATTTGATCATCGGAGATCTCCGAGCGCTTCAAAAGTGTTTGAATTGACACTCTGAGAGATCCCTAAAGTGTTTGTTTCGCTTTGGAGCGAGAACATAGAGCGAGCTCGATGTTCTCAGAGCAGAAAGATCGAGAAGAGGGAGAAATTTGTCTTTGTCTCTACCTATCTCTTTTTAATTAACTTACAAACAAATTTGAATCTCAAAATTAAAGACCAGACAAGAAGTCAACAAATTACTTAGCCGCTTTTGTCTTATAGCTAAAATTATTCATCATAAAAAACACAAAATTTGTGTTTGGAAAATACATTTTTTCTGTCCAGATCTAATCACCAGTAATCACAGTCATGGAGTATGAGAGCGAAGCGGGCATTTGTGGTAAATGCTGCATTTCAGGGCCATTACCCCTTATTATTAAAAGTTTTTCCATTTTCTTTACTTTTTGCTCACTATTTTAACATACAAACCAGAAACAAGAATCACAGAAAAGCGAGGTTATGTTTTTTACTCTGTTTTATTTGATTTGATTCAATGCTCTATTGTGACGTCATTACTTCTCGGTCTCCTCGATGCTCGCTCGATCGAGTTTCAAATCAAACGCCCCTAAAGAAGGTGTTGCTTCGGTTGCTAGGTTCCTGTTTTAGCCATATGTTTCTTTTCTGTATCGTTCTTTATCCTGTGGTATAACGTCCATCATCAAACTGACTTCTGACGTCAGCATCACCGACTTATACAGTGGGCATCATAAGTCTTACCCCCCTGACTAACTCGTTACTGGAATCTTGTTAGGAAAATCGCCGAAACAGGTCGATTTTTGATTTCTACAATGTACATTTTTGTACGATTAGTTTACCCTTAATTTCATCCCTTACTGGAGGGGAGCAACCCTTTCGAAAAATTTAAATGGCATGGGGTGGTGAGTGATAGCTCATTTGAAAGGGAGTTTTATTCTTTATTCAACCGTGCAAAAAATTTTAAAATTTGCTTCATTACGTGTTGATTTATTAATGTTTAAAAATAACAAAACCTCATAAAATAGGAAAGCAATTAAACTAACAGTGACCTTCTAATAGCAAAAAGTCTTGCTTCACGTCTGAACTAAAACCGAAATCATGCAGGGCCGAATTTTAATTCTAACGATGAGTGCGCTACGTTAATTTCCGTTTTTCTGAAACAACAATTAGTCTAGAATTAATGAAGCAAATTTCAAAATTTTTTACATGGTTGAATAGAGAATAAAACCCTCTTTCAAATGAGCTATCACTGACCACCCCATGCCATTTAAATTTTTCGAAAGGGTTGCTTCCCTCCAGTAAGGGATGAAATTAAGGGTAAACTATTCATACAAAAATGTACATTGTAGAAATCAAAAATCGACCTGTCTCAGCGATTTTCCTAACAAGACTCCAGTAACGAGTTAGATAGGGGGGGTAAGACTTATGGTGCTCACTGTATAGCTCGCTTTAATCATTTAGAACCTTCCCGGAACGTCCAGATGTTTCTTGACGTGGAATGACAATTTCTCGAATATTCTCTTCTTCTTTTACTCGCATCTTTACTTATGGTGACCGCAGCACACTGCAGGGTGATGGGTAACACTATGTTCGTTTTTAGTTTACTGTCTTACGAAACATTGCATTGTTTACTAAAAAGTCCCGAACATCGTCTATGCATTGTGATGGTTTTTATCATTTATTAACTAATTTTATGTACACTTTTTGCAATTTTACCTACGACCACTGTAGAGAGCAGCCAAAAACACAAGCCCATCAAGCAAACCAGGTACCTACTATAAAGGTTGTTAGAACTCTTATAGAAAAGTATAATACTATAATGCGTTTAAAAAATCCTACATTAGTAATATAGCAAAAAAGGTCTTCCCTTTATATAACATTTAGATTCTATAACAACCCTTATGCAACTATTATAAATCAATTTTAAGTGATGATTATAAAACTCTAAGTGTATCTCCACGATTATTTATACAAAAAATGTACGTACGCATTTTAGTACTACTAAAAAATATTAATTGTATAGTGATGTTGTACACCGTTGTAAATATATTTTAAGACCATTTTCATTCCTGCTAAAAAAAATATTTTATAATAGTGTTAAAAAGCAGAAAAAAAGCGTTTAAAAATCAGTTTGTTTTTTTAGTAATATTATAATAAAATTATTGCATACATTCTTTATAATGCAAGTAATTAAACAATCATAATTTGAAATAAAGGAAAATAATTTCAACTCAAATGTGAACAAGAGGTAAAATTAAATAAATAAATAAATAAATCACGAAGCCATATGTCACAAAATAGGTGCGACCGTTTCCCTTCAGAAAATACCGCCTTCGTTGGCTAATACCTCAACAAGTATTGAATTACATCCAAAGGAAGACAGCAGTGATAGAAATTAAATTTCAACACTCTACCTTTGATTTTGCTCACTAGGGAGAATGTCATATAACTTTTTGTCAAAAAATTGACCGGCTTCAAGTGGCGGATTGTGGTTAGACATTATTGGGTCCCCCCCTTTCCAAAAATAGCAATTATTATTTTACAGCTTTTATTCACCTACTTGTGTATGTGTGTGTGTGCGCTAGAAAAACTAACTTGGTGAATTTCTATGGGAGTTTGCCTTGTGAAAAGTACAAAAGTTTGCTCAGCAAATAATTACTATGTTTGGTAAAGTCTCGGAAATACCCCAAGTCCATTCGCTTTCTTTATTGTTTAAACGTAAACTGGATGAAACAAAAAGTTACTAGACTTTGGCACGTCGTAGATTAATTACATCATGTTATTATGTCAGGTGGCGGGTATCAAAATAATTTTGAATTTGTCAATTTGAAATATTCAAAAAACTCAAAAACAGAAAAAGATATCTACTTGAAATTTTTAGCAAATATCAAGCTCTACAAGGGGAAGAGGCCCTTTGATTAAAAAAAAATGATTAAAAAAGAGGGGTTTAAGGAGGTTAAAATTAAAAAAAAATCATAAATCAAAAATGAAAAGCGATATCAATAACATGAAATTTTTAGTAAAATCAAGCTTTACAAGGCAATGATTTTGAAAAAAATAATCTGAAAAAATGGAGGCATAAGGGGGGAGGGTTGAAATATTAAAAAAAAAATCCTAACTCAAAACGATATCAAATCAGGAAAAATCAAGCTTTATAAGGGGCATATTGATTCGGAAAACATATGAATAAAAATGGGGGGATTAAGGGAGTTGAAATATTGAAAAAAAAATTAAATCTTCAGGAAAAATCAATATTTATAAGGGGCTAAAGCCTATTGATTCTGAAAAAACCTGATTGAACATTGGTTTAAGGGGGTCGGTTAAACTGTGAAAAGTATAATATAGAAAGCCAAGCATTATATATCTTCATTCTAATTATTTGTTGTATTTAACTAAAAAATAAACATTGTATTGTAATATTTTTTATACCCAGTATTATTTTATCCTTATCATTCTGTGAAAGTGTTTGTAAATGGAATCGACATTGTTTTTAATTTCGACAAAACATCATCCGTAATATTAGTGTTCAAAACCAACCTTTTTAAAAAAAAACGTAAGTTTCTTTGCTTCTCTTGCTGTTTTAGTAGCAGATAAATAAATATGGTGAGGAAGTAGTGACAGGATTGATTATTATACTCTTAGATTATACTTCTCTCGTTGACATTTACAGGAATTGCATTTTTTTTAAATATTTTCCTCACCTGATGTGTGTAATAAAAATCTTCATTATTAAAATGATCAGAGCATAAAAAATTAGTCGGGTAGCCACTTGTTGAATTACTAACTTCTGCCAATAATAATTTTCGTTCTAGCATATTTTTTTAAATAAACGGCTCTTGATTTGTAAGAATTTTAACCTCGGGGAGTCGCCCTTGAGCTGTTGGAACAAACTTATTTATGTGTCAATTTTACATAATAAAAAACTATTCTGTCATTGAATTTGACATACATGTTTTTAGTTTTTTTTTATACATTATATTGTTTACAAGTCGTAAAAAAGTAGTTTAAAGGTATGCAACCAAATTATTTTTAATGTTTAAATGAATACAATAATGTTACTTAGTACCAATAACCTCAATTTTTATAAGTATAACAACATTGTAATTGTCAGTGGGGCACAAATTACGTCCTCATTAATGTAACGTTTATTTGTTTAAAACAGTTTATTTATTATTTATTTACGCTAAATACTAATTAATTTATACTAAAATACTTAGATCAGCACTATTTATATTTCACACTTATATTCTAATTTATATAACACTTCAAATGTCTATCATCAACTGTGTCTCGACTTCAACTGAACTCAAACGGTAAAAGAATCCATTTGTATACAAAATATTATGCTCCAGATAAATCTAGTCATGTTTCGCAGAGTTCTAGATGCTTCCAAAGTCTAAACGGTCGTTCCCCATGAATACACACGTTAGAGCTTTCCAGTAACTTTTCGTCGTTTGTTTCGACCGTCCAACGGTATTGGAACACAGACGGGCGGCATATACGCAGAGAATGGCCGGGCTGGTTTTTGCGACATTAATATAGCGTATTCTCGTGACTAAATAAGTTCGCAGGTGAAATTTCTAAAAACGTATTTTGTGAATTGTCATATTGAACATTTCGAAGGTAATTCCTATAAATTTCTTTAAAAACAACCACTTTTTGTTTTTCTTCCACACTTATATTTATATAAGCACAATCAGCCCAATTTTTATAATAATGTGAGGTTAACTACACTTATGTTCTATGTTATTTAAAATAGAGTAAACTTCGTGATAAATTAACTATAAAATAGTTTTAGGTATAGTTATTGTATACATTTTTTATTGCAACTTAATAAAATAGTTGTATTATCTGCCTAAATTAAGTTTTATACACCATTGTATAAAATTATTAAATATGATTTGTATTTGTGAAAAGTATTCAAAATTTATATGCGAACAACGAATCGGGTCGCATCGTTAATATTGCTTCGGAATGTAAAAGTCGAGGGATGAAATTTCGTGCGCTCTCCGATTCATTTATGGACTGATATTTCTAAGTGGATTTGACGACAATAAAACAATTTAATATAATACCATTATATTTTTCGTATTACAATAACTAAACAAAATTAGATACAGATTCTATTATATATATAAAAAAATAAATATCAACACTTTTAAACGATAAATTTAGGCGGGAATATAAAATCTTTTGGCGTCCATTGTTTTTATTTCCATGGCGGTTTAGATCCTTTGCGATCCCTTTGCTGTCCTCTACTCGTTCTACTGCCATCGTCTTTATCCTAAAAAAATATAATTTACTACAATATGAAATAAGGCCGTAATTAAAATCACAACATACCCTTGAGTTGGCATCGAAGCAATAGCTTTCCAGTTCCTTAAGTAAATCCTCTTGGGATGGAATGCCTTGGTTCCCCGTTGGTTTATTCAAAAACTGAAGGAAAAAATAAATTTTGAACGTTTCAAATACGTCAATTCCTCAAGAATAAATAAAAAAAAGACCAAAACAGAACATGCAGTTTAAGTTTCGATCATGCATTTATGCTCTATCAGTTCGTATTTTGCCGAAGAAAAAAAAAACAAAGAGAAAGTACGTCAGTTCTAAATTTCGTTAGATTTTTTTTTATTTCATAATTTATGTAAAGAAAATTCAGGATAAAAATTATGTACATTTATTTTTTACTTCAGTTAGTTCAAAAAAATAAAAAAAAATCATAAGAGTTTACTCAATTCCATTATGACGGCGGGCAGTCGATTAATTGTGTTCAAAACCATTTTTAAGCCCTAAAGAAGAAAAATCATGAAAATTATTAAAAGAAAGCGAGCAAAATTAACTGAGAAAACCTATGAAAACTCGAATCATTTGTACGAACATATTACGAAAAAAAAAAAAAGAAAAAAAAACAATTAAATGATGAGTTTCAAATGACATAAGACATTGATTAATACATTACAATCGTTTATTTAGAACAAAATAAACAATCCAGAATGTTAATCATTCAAAACGTTTATATCGCAAATTTGATACCAAACAAAAATATATTATCGGCAAATGGATCGGTCAGTAGGACAAACAACCATCGCAATATATCAAACCTCTTCCTTGAGCGAAACTCATCATTTAACAGACAGTAATAAAGTTGTTAAAACCAACAGCCTACTCACCAAACTGATGTACTTCTGTATATCAGTTTCGCTTAATGCAGGTCTGGCCAATTGCGTCGCTTTGCTAGATACAGGGGTTTCAGTTTGTTGCCCGAAACGGTCGAAAGTAATTTTTCCTGTATTACTGCCCAACATTGAACAAGGTTCTTCTTGTTCGAGCGTTTTGCGACCCACCATGTTGTTATAATTGTCTTCTTCGTCATGTTGACTGAGAACCTCTTCTAGATTGGTGTAGGACTTTGTCCTCAGGTTATTAAGTTGGTCTAAGAGAAACAATTTTAACTTAAAAACACGGTCCATCGGGCCGAAATCCAAACTGTTTAAAAGCTAATTATGTTAAAAAAGACTTTCAGACCCTTACAGAAAAAAATAAAGACAACATTGTACTTACCGATCGTGCTAAAAGTCGTCGGCTCCTCGTGAAACGTCGGGCTCTTGCCGTTCGCGATTATCCGCATGGCTTCGTTCCACTGACTCTCCATGACTTTCTGCAATTGTTTGGCCACCGTGACCCGCTTCTCTTGGAACTGGATCAGTTTACTTTGAATGCTTTCGGCTTGTTGCTTGTGCTGCATGATCTGTATCTGGTACAGCTTGATCTCCTCCTGGTGCTTCTTTTCCAGCAGTTTGATTTCAAGAGTAGACCTAAAGATATTAACGCTTAACTCTAATAAATGCAACGTGTGACTAAAATAGATCATGTTTCTGTCTAGAATATGAGATAAAATCTGCAGATAGAATGTCAAGTGCATATAATATAAATGTCAAGCATCGTTATTACCAGAAAATCTATCATTTTGGACTTTGCTTCTTGTTTTACACTCTTTTCACACTTCAGAAGCAAATTATCCACCGCTTTTGAGTTACAGTAATTAGAGATAAACTAGTCAAAAACCACTATACCTTTCTAAAAATACATATACTTACTTCTCTGATATCTGTTGAATGTGTGAAGCAGCTGATTTGGCGATGGCCATCTCTCTCTTCTTGATTTCATCTTTAAAATTGTTTTCCGTCTGATCCAATTGGCACTGGAATTCCTTAAGCTTATTTTGTACTAAAATTTCCACTTGGCCTTGATAAAAATTCCTTAATTCTACTTTATTGCTCTCCAAGTGTTTTTTGAGTTTGGTTATTTCATCTTGTAATTCAATCTAGAAAAAGTACATCGGAGTTGATAGTAGTGTAACAATTTATCTCGAAAGCATAATTCTTACCTCGCGTTTCTTCCTAGAATCCAACTCCTCTAACAGATCCATAACTTCCTTATTGAGTTTAACAGTTTGTGTCCTTTCCTCTTTGAGCTTATCGTCCATTTTAATGTACTCCTCTTTCATTTTGTTGAACTCCTTCTGACAACCCTCAACGGCTTTCCGGCTCTGAGTTATCTCCGCAGACGCGCTCGACAGAGTTATTTTGTTCTGTTTCCGATAAAAAAAATATGAAAGAAAAAAAATTTTTTTTAATTTCCTATTTAGGTACTTACTTCGTTGATTTCTATCTCCTTCTGAGCCAATATTTCCGACATTTGTTTGTATTTGTCGCATTCTTTTACGTAATTTTCCTCAGAAACGTCCAATTTCCTTTTTAACGTTTGATTTTCGTTTTCCAATTGCTTGCATTTACTTTCTAGCATGTTCGATTTCTCTTGATTGGCGTGTGCCAAATTTAGAGCCTTAGAAGCTTCCTTCTCGTAATGGCCAATTCTCTGCAATATTTTGTGAATTTTTGAATTTCCTAGTAGCTTGATACACAATTAGAAAATATATTTAAACCGAACATTGCCTTAAATCAGGTCCAAATGGGATTCTTACGATTTGGTCTCATCAAAAAGGCCTTAGGTCAAGACAAAAGTACAATAAATCAATTCAAAAGTCTTTAAATCCCCTTCACATAATAATAAAGTTAATTTATCAAAGATAATACATTAAACATTTCAAAATCATTTAACTAGAGGCTTCATCATCTTACCTTTGTAGCAAAAATTAAAAAACAATCATTAAAAAAGAGTTTAATAATAATAATAATTTTGTCAAGTCATAATCTACTCAAAAGATGTAAAATGAGTCGGGTCAAAATTCAGACTTATTTTGGGTAAAACTCTGCTCAGAAGTTCTTAAATAGTTTCAAAAATACTGCAAATCGTCTATAAATGGCCTTGACATAGGTCACAAAGGCTTTAAATCGGTTTAATAGACTTAAATCCTAAATAAAAAGGTTTCAGTCCGGTTTTTAATCTGTTTCGGATTAATGATCCATTAAAAAAGACTTTTAGCTAGGTACTACACTCGCTACTTGACTTGGTGACTTGTATTAAAGGCGGGTTCAGACGCAGCCAGTATATTAGTCAAGTGGTCGAGTAATTTATTGACTTGACCCATTTGAACACATTTTGTTTTAGTCGAGCTCACTGGCAGTCGACTACACGGTCGAGTTTAGTAAATAGAACTCTATTCTATTTTCTTGGTCGAGTAGGAGCCCCCACCACACAGAAAAGCCGATTAGCGCGCCGATTAGACATGTTTAGACACTGGCTTTGTGTAGACCCTTTTTTTACTCGACTTTACTAATTTACTTGACTCGTGTGAACAGAAAACACACGTGACTAAATAACTTTACTCTACTAAACTACTGGCTGCGTCTGAACCCGCCTTAAGTTTGAGAACTGTAATCCTTCAAGTAGCAAGCCAGGTTTACATCGGTACAAAAATACCCCTAAACAACTGGTCAAAAAGGGGTTTAAATCGGTTAAAAATGATCTTGAGACATATCAAAAAGCCATAAGTAAGTTTAATATGCATAAAAAGACATCGGGTCAAAAAGGCATTAAATCGGTAAACATGATCTAAATAAGGTAATAAGGGCTTTAAATGGGCTAAAATTGTAAATACATCAATAATAGGTAATTAAATCCTATAAAAAGGTTATAAATTGGGTAAAAATAAAATACTATCTTCTTAATCGTGTTGAAATCCATTTAGTAAGGCCTTAAATCGGGTAAAAATACCTTAAGACAATAAAAGCAATTACAAAGAAAAACCATTATAGAAGAGACGATAGCAGCTCGGGTTGCAAGAGGATGCACAGGGAAGAGTACTGTCTCCATTCCTGTGGAACCTGGTCATGGATGGGCTGCTTAGGACTCTCAAAAATAATGGACATAGAACCTTGAGATATGACGACGATCTAGTGAACATGGAGCAGGGTAAATACACTACAGTTAGAGACCGAATGAGGCTCTAAACATAGTAACAAAATGGATAGAAAAGAAAGAACTAAAAATTAGTCCCAACGATAATTGCATTCATGCACATGAGAAAGTTAGAGGGACTAGAACCGCTAAACCTTCCGAGATGAAAACTTCCAACTAAAGGGCGAAGTAAAGTATCTCGAGGTTACAACTGACCCAAAACTTACATTGACTCAACATTTGGAAAGAACAATAAGAAAAGCGGAAACAACACTAGACACTCCTTTGGAAAAAAATGGGGACTGAAACCAAGTATAATGGACATACAATATGGTGGTAAGACCTATAATAACATACACAGCTTTAGTGTGGTGGAAAAAATACACAAGGAGCGGCAATATCGAGAATAAGCAAGTTACAAAGACTTGGAATAATGGGGACAATGAGAGCAGCAGCAGCAATGTAAGCACTAATAGGCTTGCCATCACTTCACTTTGTGATACAAGGGGAGGCAAGATTAGGTGCTTACAGATTAGGGAACACCTTGGGAAATCTTAACATTATACCAGGGGCCTATTTCATAAAACCTCTTTGCAACTTTTCACTTTGCATATTTTAGTAACTTTATGTTTCATAAAACAGAAATATAACGAGTTAAAAAGTAAAATTTAAAAAGCAATTTGCAAAGTGAAAATGAAAAATTTAGAATCTGCAAAGATAACAATATTATTTTATGAAACGCAAGTATTTTGCATTCGTAAATTGGCAAAGTGCAAAGTGAAAAGTTGCAAAATAGTTTTATTATATAGGAACCTGGTCACATAAATATCACAAGGTTAGTAATAGAGGAGGTGCTAGACATGAGAACAGATCACATAACCAAACGTTACTCCTTCAACACTCCAGTCGTGGTTTTAATACCAAACAGAACGGGATAACTATAAGGGAACCCACAGGAACATACCTGGTATTCAGACGGATCAAAGACTGCGGAAGGCACTGGGGCTGGAGTATTCTCCAAAACCCCAACTTTAGCTATGCCATAGGAAGACACACTTCAGTATTTCAGGCTGAGATTTATGCAATCTTGCAATGTGCAAGAACAAACAATTAGGCATTCCAACGACCTGTCCAAATGGCTACCAGCGGGATCTGACAGTTTAGATATGGAAACCTGTTGGCATGTTGTTATTAACAGGGTCAATGATACAAAATATATAGTTATATAGATTGCTCAAAGCGGGTCGTTTGCGAGCGGCCATATTGCCTGGCAAGTGTTCGATAATTTGAATGTGTTTTTAAACCAATTTTCAGCCTCTGAATATTTCAATAAAAAAATAATTGCCTACGTTTTTACTTTGAGGCATATAAGCCTATGTTTATTTTGAAAAACATGGATGAACAATCTAGATAACTGTCTATAGCATTGACCCTATCAAACCACCAGGCTCACAGTGTTGCTATATTATAATCTGTCATGTGCCTGTCAGTGGCCTGTCATTTCATCCGGCCAGATATTTTGTTTGGAATGACTAATAGGAGAGCTATTTCAAATAAGCAGAACCAAATAATGTCAGACAGCCAGGCGGCCCTTAAGACCATATCAAGTCAGGAAGTGATGTCGAGGCTGGTATGGGATTGCATTGAGGAACTGAGAACACTCGCAGACCGAAATGAAGTAAAACTAGTTTGGGAACCAGATCATAAAGGAATTGAGAGCAATGAAAAGGCTGATGAACTCTCAAAGAGAGGGTCAGAAGAAATACCGGAACCAGAGATCAGGGACATAAAGATAGAAAACGCAACGACCGCAGCAACGATGGTGTCATCTATGCGCCTCAGATGTTAAATAAAGGTACACGTCGTTTGTAGACAGACATTAGACGTGGACAGCAGTAGACAGTTTGTAAAAATAAATGTCAATTAGTTGTATGCATATCGTAGAATACCGAATTTAAATTTTGAGTTCAAGAGTGGTTTATATTGAAAGGTGAACTAAGCGAAATGGTTGTGGTTGTTTTTGCGTTGAATTTTAGGATATTATTTATATTTTGTAATATTACACTGAGTCGGGGCACCTATTGCATTAGTAACACATGCCGGATCGTGTGCCAGATGAATAAATTTAACAATTCCATTGTGGCGTTCTTTACCAAAGTAAGATCTAGCCATGTAAGTAACACAAACAGTAGCCAACTTTTGTCACAAAGTATTTATTATTTGTTTTAGAGCAAGAAAATGGCTTCAACACGTTGGAGAGAATATTTATTTATAGTATAGGTCGAAAAATATCTGAATTCGCATTTTCAAGTTTGCAGTCAAAATTTTTAAAAATGAAACACCATTGGCAACTTGTTGAGAAAATAAGAACACAAATGATGTTAAAGATACAAATAATAAAAAATTTAAAAAATATTTGTTCTGAATAGATTTATAATAATTAATCGATAATATACTGTAAGTGTAGTATTTTTTTAATAAATAATTTACCATAATTAACATTGTTTAAATTTCTCCCTGCGTTATTTGTTTGATATCGATGAAAGCACCACATAGTAGGTCAGATATTAACTGTGTTCGAGCTGGTCGTTGTTAAGCATGTGCTTCTTATGAGCGATTCCTATCTTTATGTCCCTTATCTCTGACCGGAACCAGATATAAACCTTGGAGTACCAGAACGTACAGTTCGAGGTTTTATAAATGACTGGGTTCGGAGAAAACACAACAATTATTGGGAGAATATCCCAAAACAAGCACATGGAAAGACCTTTATAGGAAGAACCGGAGAGCTAATCTCCATGAGAGTAGTTGAAAACAATAACAGTAAAGGGACACCTGAACAAAATAGGCGTGTATAATGGAGACCTATTGTGTTGACTTTGTTACAAGAATAATTAGATAGAGTGAGTACTATGAATTAAAGACCATAACTTCAAAAGGGTCTAAGTGCCAAAAGTATGGAAAAAAAATATTTATTTACTTATCAACAAGCAACTGCCCAATTAAAATACAAAACACAAGTTTAATAAAAGGGAAAATTTAAAACCTAACCTACACAATGTTGAAATAAAGAAACAAAAATTACCATAAAATTAACATAAACAAGAAAAAATAAAATATTAATAAAAAAGGTAACAATTATAAATAAGTTAAATTAAATTATCTAGACACATCAAAATATCACATACATGATTTAAGCTGGGATTTAAAGACTTTTTGATTATCAAATCAGTCCAATCTATCAGAATACTGATTGGAAAATCTACCCGACCTTGATAGAAAAGAATTATATTCGTAGTTAGTCCAATGTTGTCTAATATTAAAAGGATGAATAAGCCTTGTTTGTCTAGAAGGAACATGAATATTGATTTTTCCCAATAGCTCTGGACTAAAGTTATGAGTAAAATATAAATTTTATACACTATATACGCACAAATACATTCGCCATGTTTATCCCACTACAATAAATGGATTTCTTTGAAAATGCACTTAGGAACATTTGGATATTATTAGGGTTGGTATATTAAATCTTTTTATGCAAAAATGTATATTTTTAAAATTTTGGCATTTAGACCTTTTTGAAGTTATGGTCTTCAATTATTATGGGTCAATTACAATAGGCCATTAGGCCGCAGTGTTGTCGGAGACTAAGGCAGACGATACAAGATAATAAATGATAGAAATCGATGAACTTATATAATTGTATCGGTTATTTGGAAAAGGCCACAAAGGACAATCTCAGCCACTTGGTTGTTAAGAAAAGGGAACAAAATATCATTAGAATTCTTAGAACTGTATTAACTAGATACCCGTTTCACTGCGTTTGATTCGAAAAGGTCACAAGAGACACAAAATGTGACCTTTTCGAAATATTTACCCTGAAGCGCAGAAATATGTTATGACGTGTCATCACTTAGATTAAAATTTCAGTTTCAAATTGATTGTTGCTGAATCAGCAGTGAATTTTGTATTGTGGTTTGTGGTGTAAACATCATATAGATGGGCTCATTCCGTAATCTTTTCACTAGCAAAGCCTGCGGGGTCCAAGGCGAATCTTGCTGAAGAGGCATGTAAAGCCTATACTGCCAATGTCCCCATGAATATAAAAAAGTTTACAATTTGAAATCCTTAATCCAATATATTCCCCAGTAAAACAAAGAATTTTACAGTATGATATTGGACTGGCCAACAGCAGTCTCTGAAGAGATGGCTGGAGAAGACTTCTTTGCTATTATAAAGTAACTTAATTTACATCAGATTTTTATTTTTTTTATTCTGAATAAGTTTGGAAAAGGACACAAATGAAATAAATATAAAAATATTTTTTTGATATAGATTGTTCAAATATCCATAAAAAAAACTGTAATTAGCTTCCTTGCATACTAATGAACATATAGAAATATGTAGATAACTAGTATGTGTATGCAAATTGTTTTAAAAATGTTTTTCTTTTCTACTGTAAAACTGAGTGATAAGTAGATGTGCCCGTTTCCAAATAACCAATTCAATTATTATTTTACTTATGGGGCTGGAGCCTGGAGTAACAGAACTAGTTTAGCTACTACGAGAGCTAATATCTCAAAAGTACAAAGACTAGCCTGTGTGTACATCACCGATGCAATGAGAACCTATCCTTCAGTCTCATCCCTCTATATTTAATGATAGAGAACATGGCAAAAAGGACAAGTTATAGTATGATCAGAAACCGAGTAATCATAGGGAAGTCTATTAGCTCCAGGACCGAAGATACTTGGGATATGCCCAGAATGAAATGAGAAGGAAGTACAGTTTTATGAATAACTTCAAAACCACAGATCTGGACTGCAAGAAAGAATGGAATGAAGAATCCATCATGTTTACAATCGAAAGGCATAATATCCAATGGTATATAGATGGTTCCAAAATCAAAGAAGGAATTAACGGGGTAGATCTGGACTGCAAAAAGAATGGAATGAAGAATCCATCATGTTTGCAATCGAAAGGCATAATATCTAATGGTATACGGATGGTTCCAAAATCAAAGAAGGAACTAACGGGGTAAAGGGTAACGGAATTGCAGATAGTCTTGCAAAAAAAAAGGGGTTAAAATACCCTTTGCTGGACCTGAGCCATTCTGTGATATCAGCAGATAATTGGGTAGCAGAAGAAATGATAATTGGAAAAATCTCTTGGTGCTAAAACAGGCTAAGATACTTCTGAGTGAATATTACCAGAAAAAATTGCAAGCCTGTATGTCTGTGCAATAACAGACTACTTATTGTAACATGGACCCTTACTAGGCATTGCCGACTCAAAGGGCACCTTAGTGAACTAAAAGTAACAGAAGATAGATAGCAAGTGCAAATTCTGTAAACCTCCATTTACATTGAATCCAAGGACACTATACTTAGGAGCATGCCAGATAGAAGAGGGCGATTTACCTAACTTGAAGCCACTCTAGATACTACAATTCCTTGAGAAGATAGGATTGGAATGGTCATTATAGGCAACCAGACTATTTTTTTTTGCTTTATTAGCGAGAGAATGGGACACCATAGATTTTTAGGTCGCAGCGCATTAATACCCCATACCTAACAAATCTTTTTTTTCAAAAAACATACCTGATCAGCTTCTTCTTTCTCATCTATATGTCTATTTTGCAATTTATTTATCTCAAATTCGTAATCGACTTTCTCTTTATTTAATTTCTCCAATCTCACTATTAATTTTTCCATAGTATCTTGGAATTGTTGTATGGTTTTGTTCTTGGCATCGTCGACTTTCACCGCCACTGAAAGTTTTTGCTGCATCTCTAAATTCCTCGTTTGCAGTTCTTGTATCAAATTTTCGCAGTGCTGAAAATAATTCATTTCTATACCTGGACGAAATCATTTGAGCTACTACACAAACATACCTGTCGTCGATACTTCTCCTCTTGTAATTTTTGCGTAAATTGCGAGGCCGTTAAACTATCATAAGGATTAGCATTCCATATGTCGGCCAAATTCATCAATCCTAACTCCGCTCCAAAATTATCGCCCACTATAGTGCCCCTGGCCTTTCTTTTGTGTTCTTTGTAAATGTCATTAGAACTTATTTTATGACTTGAGTCCTCCACCAACTTTTTATGCATATTTAAAATATTTACTGCATTGGAATGTATAGGATTAGTTAGTAAATTTGTTTTACTTGGTTTAGATCGCCCATAGGCAGTTATTAGAGTGGAATCTGAGCTGCTATCAGTAAAATTCTTTTCAGCACTCTGTATTGAATCATTAAGAGGATAATTTGAATGCGTATTATTAGAATAAAGTTTATTTTCTTTTAATTTATCATTATATAACAAATCTCTCATACCTGTGCCATAATCTGGAACACTGTCTTTATTATCACCACACTGCCAGGTTTTTTTCATACAACTAGGCTCTTCTCTCAAATTACCAGAATTCTGCGATCTTTCACCACTTTTAACGGATCCAAAAGTATTAAAATCGTTTTCCAAATTCCTAACAGCAGAAATCCTTTGGATACTTTTTACTTTCGATAAAAATGTGTCTATTTCATTAAGTGTCTGCCCATCTCTGTCGAATCTGGTATATTTACCTTCAGGAGAATCTTCAACTAGCCTACCACCTAAACCCCTTCTAAAACTCCTAGGATGCTGCAATCTATCAACGTTAGGACTATTTGGTAAAGAATTCAACTTAAACTTAGAACTTGGCTTTTGCGGCGTATTTTGGGCACTATAACTAGTTTGCAAGTCATCTGTACTGTTGTACTTTCGAAAATTTTGCCGGTGCGAATTCATATTCGACGGGGACTGCGTAAAATCCATAGAATGACTCAAAAAACTTTCAGATACCTCTATGGTTTTTAAACGGTGTTGCAGACCGTCTACCTGCTTTATAAGTTTATCGACGATATTGTAATAAGGTCGTACCGGGTCGTGTTGGCCTGAATCCGACTCTACAACGAAAAAATCAGGAGGAATCAATAGCAATTCGTCCGTATCATCTGTGTCAGTCATAACGTGGCACTAGCGATTTTTCTTTGAACAAATAAGGATATTTTCTTAAAACCATTACCTGAAAAATATTTTTAAAATAGAATTTGGTTGGTTCGGTTATTGATTGGGGTTTCACTTACGAATAAAATGCTCTAATGATAAAACTTCATGCTCCATTCAAACAAATTTGTAAACAATCAACATATCAAAATGACTTGTCAATTGTCAAAATTAATGATGGCCAACTGCAAATCTATTGCCAACAGAAACGAATTGAAATTATCATTATTACTAAGAGATCATGTCACTAAAAATCAAAATGGGTGAGAGTGGTAATTATAATAAAATGTTTTTGTTTGAAATCCCTCCACCAAGAGTGGAAAATATCTTCATTAAAAGTTGATGTAATAATATATCTGTAAATAATGGTTTTTACCATGAGCTGGAGATCTACAGTGTAAACTACATTAATTTATTAAAAAAAAGGATTAAGGTTTTTATAACGGAAAAGAACCCCCGCACCAAATACATATATTATGAAAATAGCTCTCAGCCAATTTTAATTTGGAAAATTGTAATACAAGTTACTAGAAGTTATATTTAAATTAATTTCTATAGTTTCGAAGATATGAATTTTTGAAAATCATAAAAATTCATGTTTTTCTAAAACGTGGTAAAAGGTTCACTTATTAAAAATTATTACTTTTTAGATTAGTAAGAAAATAATAGCATTGCTGGTTTAAAGGGAGTTATATGAAATGTAAGTCAGTCATTATGACAAAAGAAGCCGCCTTATACAGGGTGGGTCAAAAATAGCGACAATTTAGAATATTTTGGCAAATACATTTTAATGAAAAATGTTCAGTTCCACCAATTGGGACTAATGAACAATTATAAAAATTGGCGAAATATGCCAAATTAACGCTATTTTTGACCCACCCTGTATACTTGGAGGTGTCATCTTCTGTCTTATTAACGACTGACTGACATGCCGTCTGACTTCCTTTAAGCCAGAAATGCTATTATTTTGTTATTAATCATCTAAAAAGTAATACTTGAAAAAAATTAGTAGATGATGAGTGTATTATTATTCAAGCACCAATGACTTTCAAAACGCAAATCAACTTTCAACCTAAGTGAAAGCTTGTTATAGTAAAATATCAGGAGCATGTTTGAACTTGGTTATGATTTCACTCGTGTTAAATCGCGCAAATGCGTCAAATACTAAGCAAGTCTGAATTTTTGCGATGTTCATTGTGTCGTACAGTCGAATAGTTTTCTTTTGTGGTTTGTTGTCTTTATTTTTTTGTCAGTCATGATTTCATAATGATATATAAGCGTGATCCTAAGCGTCTCTTCGTTCGTTATATGCCAGTTATGTATGGTGATTGTCAAGTATACTCAGCTTTTTCTCCTGTCATTTCGGAAGGTTGACGGGTCTCTCGTGGTCGTTTTCGATTTTAAAGCCGTGTTGAAAAGTCCATTCTATCGTTTCTTGTCCTTGTTTGTCAGTCTCGAATGCCTCGATAAATATTAAGAATATCTGTGAAATATCGCCTTACTCATCTATTATTGATTACCTACTTGAAATTTACCCAAAATATTCAAGAATATATTTTTTTATTTAATTCATCCTGCATATTTTTTTAATATTTCGTACTCTATTAAAGTTAAAATACAACCATTAACAACATGGGTTGTGCTAAATTTATTAGTTCTAAATTTATGGAGTAATGGTGCATCCGGTATTCCTAATTGACTTATACTACATAATAACTTGATTGTTACACACTGTAGGTCTTAGAGCATATCAATGAACTGGAGTGGGGTAGAAAGCCAATGTGCATATTGTATCAATAGAACAATATGCGACTCTATGGGCGCAGCCATTTTTATTTCTCATCTCACTCGGGAGTATTTATAATAACCATTTTCTGTTTCACTTTGTTATTGTTCAATCCACATGATGGTGGATCAGACAATAACAAAGTGAAATAGAAAATGGTTGTTATAGATACTCCCGAGTGAGATGAAAAATAACCTGTCTTTGCCCATAGAGTCGCATGTCAAGCCTATTGACAAGCATTCTACCCACATACTTTGATTTTCTTTTACTATACGGAGAATGGTCGCACTGCGCAGCTTTCTGAGTGCCTTTTAAAAGGAGATAGAAAACTCCGCCATTTTGAACCCTTATTACGTGTTGCCTACATCTTGGCGCAATATTTTTAATAGGTGCGTTTTAATCATCCGCTTCTGCTTCGGAATTGTCGGTTTTCTTGTTTTAATCTGACAGGTTAAAACGACTAAACCGACATTTCCGGAAGCAGAAGCGGATGATTAAAACGCACCTGATATTTTGCTTGCTGCTGTCAGTGTCAGAATATTATTTTTGAAGTCACAGTTTATTGCTAAAGAATCAGTTAGCTCACTCGGACCAGTTAAAAGTTCCAAAATAACATCCACTCCGGGGATACAAATTCAGGATACACAGAAGACTGCTGTTTTATTATAGGCGGTTATCATATATTGTATTATCCGAGTTGCACAGTGCATAAACTGAAACATTGAGATCCAAAGTGCCGACGCAGAGTGAGCGATCTGATTCTTTAGCTGTAAACTGTGTCACAGGGTTCAAAATGGCCGCGCCCTATGTTGGGCGTGCCGGACCTCTCTCTTGCGCCGTATAGTAAAGAAAATCAAAGTATGTGATTCTACCCCACTCCAGTTCATTGGAGCATATGTAGTTCCTTTCGTTCACTGTTGGTGCAGTGTCCACCAGTGTAAATTACACCAGTCACACCACCTTATTTACCCAAATTTACTTCCTCCTTATTCCTTATAGGGCCTATTCCACCGTTGTGTTAAACGAAGTTTAAAATTACATTTTTACATTAGCAATGTCATTTTAATCTCCGTCTAACACAACGGTGGAATCGGCCCATAGGTACACATAATGTAAGTCACTCCTGCTAAATAACTGATGGAGAAAATATCCACCACTGGACACCCACATCGCCGACAAAAAGGTATAGTTGGTGTAGTTCATTCCTACCACATACTTTGATTACTATACGAGGCAAGAGAGAGGTCCGACACGCCCAACATAGGGCGCGGCCATTTTGAACCCTGTGACACAGTTTACAGCTAAAGAATCAGATCGCTCACTCTGCATCGGCACTATCCTTCCTCCATGGTCGGCACTTTGGATCTCAATGTTTCAGTTTATACATTGTGCAACTCGGATAATACAATATATGTCAACCGCCTATAATAAAACAGCAGTCTTCTGCGTATCCTGAATTTGTATCCCTGGAGTGGATGTTATTTTGGAACTTTCAACTGGTCCGAGTTAGCTAACTGATTCTTTAGCAATAAACTGTGATTTCAAAAATACGCACTTACGTCCACGGTTTGCTTGGTGACTAGTAGGGTTATATTAGCATATTAGCAATTGAAAAATAAACAAACAAATCTTCAACCAGAGACATTCAACTCAAAAGTAAAATGAATAAACCAAAATCAAATGTCACTTTTAAACATGGTTCATCCGTGCATAAAGATCGATCAGGTAGCGTAAGTGATCGCTACTTTTGTAGCGCTCCTTGAAATGGCGCGGATGAACGCAGCCATTGGCGTGGGGTCTCTAGAAGATACGTGCTTTGTGGTCTAGAAGGTCGAGGCAAGCTATAAAAGTCGACGACCTGACGTAAGAGTTCAGTTTTATGATAGACGTTGAACGTTAATGTTATCAGTTGAATTGAGTCATTGTAAAGTTGAGTTAAAATAAATTGTGATACCAAAAGCCAGTGTAACAATATCGATAATTAAAAATGCAAAAAACTCGTTTCAAAAAGAAATAGATAAAAGTACAAATAAATCAAAATCATTATGAAATTGTGTAAATCATATCTGTAACAAATCTAAACCTAAAAATCTGATGTGTCCAACACATGACTTTCCTATCTAGTTATTACAGACTTTTTCCGGTTATTTTGTACAACCTATTGCAGCATCTCTATAAATGTTTAGAGGATAAACTAAATATATACATTGTCCACATACATCTACCTCGAAACATTTTTCTATAGATATTCATGGAAAACAAAAATACTGAAAAATTAAAATTTCCTACAATTTTTTCATTACGGTCCATTTTAGAAAAATCATGTATAAACAAAAATTATAGAGATCGATATCGCAAACAACTTTTATTTCAAAAACTTTCATAAAATTCAGAATTTTGCACATTTTGTCAAATTTCTCGAATACGGACCATTTCAGGAAATTTTTACATAAAACAAAAATTATAGATAATAATATTAGAAGTAACTTTTATTTGAACAATTTTTTTCTCCAAACATTAATAACAGATATATTCCATAAAATATAAAAGTGGCCTTCCATAAAGTACCCCCCCAGATGTTCCGACTATGTCTAAAATCTAATTATTTCACGTCAGGCCGAAATAAACCTTAAGTTTAAAATTTAATGTTTTTTTCTTTATCCGTTTTTGTGTTTTCTTCAAAATTCGAAATTTACACATTTTCTCAAATATCTCGAATACGGTCCATTTTAGAGAAATTATGTATAGAATAAAAATTATAGAGAATTATATAACAAACAACTTTTATTTGAACAATTTTTATAAAAAATTATTTTTTTTACATTTTGTCAAATTTCTCGAATACGGACCATTTTAGGAAAATTTTGCATAGAACAAAAATTATAGATAATTATATTAAAAGTAACTTTTATTTGAAGAATTTTCTTCTCCAAACGTAAATAACAGATATATTCCATGAAATATAAAAATGACCACCTATAAAGTACCCCCCCAGATGTTCCGACTCTGCCCAAAATCTAATCAGCTCATTAGACGCTGGAACAAAGCTTAAGTTTGAAATTTGGTGTTTTTCCGTGTATCGGTTCATGAGTTATGCGTTATACAGACACACACACACACACACACACAGACACACACACAGACACACACACAGACATCATCGCGAAAATAGTCAAAACGGATTCAGGGGACCTCAAAACGTAAAAATCCGTCGAAAACTCGAGGTCGAAAAAAATCATGATTCCTATACTTTCCTTATATCTGTATACAGATAGGAAAGTAAAAAGAAATTGAAACAACCATGTAGAAAATGAAATTGAAAAAATAAATTATAGTAGATGAATTTAATAAATATTTTAGTGAGATTGGG